ACATGGTGTTTGCAATCTTCAGATGGTTAACGACATTGATGGTGTCAGCAGTTGGGTAGGGAAGTGTTGTAGATATGTAGGGAGCAGGTGGGTTGGAGCTGGATGTCAAGTTCACAGCTAGACAGCCAACAGTGAGAGCATTTTATTTTGCATCAGTGCTAGCTGGGCTTTTAATTGAGCCAGCCGCAAGGATGCAGACTGCTGTCGAATCAGGAACAATCTCACTGTAAGCCCTCCAAGTAGGGGGCTCGTTAGGGGCCCAGGAATAGGAGAAGGGACACCACGCTCCAATAGCAACGCAAAGCTGAAAAGTCAAGAAAACAAAGAAAGCGGTTATTTAATGGGCATGGACATCAGCGTCTTGGTTGGGTTACATCCATCATCTGGAAGGACTTGTTTGGACTTGTCCACTCTGGTGCTTCCTGTCAGAGAGGGATTCAGTCTGTCTTTCTCACTTCCTTGTCTTCACTAGCAAGAAAGAAGAAGGGAGGCAAAAGCAACAAAGCACAGACAAAGAGAGAAAACAAGGTCATGGCTGTTGAGAGAAAACATCCAGAACAGAGACAAATTCATTTATTTCCTTTCCATGCTCATTTGAGACTGGCACCAGCAGACAGACAAAGCACATTGCAAAATTTAACATCTCACAGCTACAATTTCCATTTCAGAAAGTCACATTACATCACTGAGCTAAACGCTGGTACTGAACGACATTCTAAATCAGAATGAACTTCGGGTACGACTCTAAAAGACAAGATGGGTTGGGCAGTGTAGTGAAATTGTACAGAATGAGTCACAATTGTATTCATGTGATTTACAATGTGATGGCCTAAATATTATCTACAGAGATTTTGAAAAATTTTGTGTCATGATGCATTCATCACCTCAACTAAAACATCACAATATGGAACTCAAACTTATATGGTCCAATCAAGAAGAATCAAGGAAGGAACCTTATATAAAGCTGAATACCCACTGACTATTGCATTCCAAATCTTTCCAGGGACTTCTGCTCCCACCCTTTTACATACACCCAGTTACATAGAGAACCCCCTTTCTTGCAAAGTACTAACTACATAAAAGCCCTGATACGCTGTTGTTTGCACCAATTCATTTTGAAAAGAGCAACAGCCAATAGGTAAACTCAAACTCAGTCACTTGGCACTCAGCTGTCCAATGGTGCAACTATGATCACTCACTCAGTCAGTGAGTGACTCACAGACATTTGCCATTATACAGCTGGCCCTGCTGTTGCGCCCAGAATAGAAATTCCAGCAAAGAATAGAAAGGCGGATGCATTTTGATAAACAGAGAAAATCCAGCAATCTCATGTTTTCTCACAAGTAACAAGTACAAAAACAAAAACAACATTCATTAAAATGCAGTCCAATTTGCCATCAACCATAAACTGTAGTCCCCATATATTTCAAATTAAGTGCTCATCGGACAAATGCACCCACTTTTTGAAGTGATTGGTCTGGTGTGAGTGACACCAGGAATGTCTTTCAAAGAAGGCTGTACAAAAATGCCTGGCGTTATACTCATTTATGATTCATCATGTCAAATGTACAAAAACGCTTCAAAGACAGAATACTGAAGGAGAGTTTGAGCAGGCAGTTGTTTGCATGACGATAGAGCACTTTATCCTTAAATTCACTGTAATAAGGCAGTAATGTTTGTTTGGTTTCCAGTAGCAAGGTCTGACATATTGGAAGTTAAACAACAATCTGAGTTTCCCCGTTGTAATTACAACTTGGATCTTCGTGAGTTTTTCACGACTGACATTTAGTCATGTCGCAGTAGAAAAACGCATCTGGGCTGGTTTCAGGTTCCTGATATTATGCATGCGGCCTCAGTAACAGTATCTTGAATGTAACAGAGTACAATTCCTGTAAAAAGGGCTTTTCAACAAGTCTGAAAATAAACATCGCGAAAGTTAATTGCTGGCATTCTGTCGGTATCGATTGCATTATACTGCTCAAGATTTAATGTCACCAGATACCTCTTGGCTTTAACGAGGAAGAAAAAAAAAACCATGGAGTGTAACCCGTTTATTAATCTGCGTCACTTTGACCGTTAGTGACAGTTAAGCCAATAGGTTAATCAGTATTTATCTCATTTGAAGCTCTAAATGTTAGAGAAACATAACCACCACTGATGTTCGAGAATTGAAACCTAGCTAAACTAGCTACAGCTAGCAGGTGCTAATGTTTGGCTTCAGCAAGGTCCGGTAATGATCATACACGGTCATTGTTTGACAAACACCGAGTAAACCAACTGTAGCTGCGAGTGTATAGCTGCGTGTTTTTATAATATTGTTTTTGTTACATTACCTGTCGTTATTTGTGTTATATATTTAAGCTTCGGAATGCTGAAAGTCGTCTTCGGGTCGTTTGTTGGCAGGAAATCTTAGCTGCCTAAACACCGTTAACACTTCCGGTTTGGTGACCAGCCTTCAGAGTAAAAGCACGAACGATGCAAGACAATCTGAGAACTGCTAAAAGTAAAATTTTGGTCTCAAGTCACTTTTACCCCTACTCACTTAAGAATAGATTTTTAAATAAAACTTCTCTGGACTTAAAAAACGCTTTAAAGTAGTAGATCCTATGGCTGCAGAAAAGACACAGAGCCTTTGTTTTGACCTACCTCATGTACCTGTTGGTGAAGGAGGTACAGAGAAATCTGTTCACACAAATAATATTGAGATAGATCTACCAATGGTTTTTGGTACAATTATCACTATAAATCAGAGGCATCGATAAGTAACTTAAATAACATTTAAAATACTATATTATAACACCTACTATACACAAATAAAGCATGAAAAACTAAAATAAAAGGTATAGTGTCTTGTGTGTGCAGTTGGCAGTAATAGCAGCTTAAAAACTATTTGGTCCCCAGCAACACCTCAGGGCTTTCCACAACGTATAGAGTAGCCAGCCACTGGGAAAATCTTTTCCTTATTTGACAAAAAGGTAAATAAACTAAGCCAAGTGTTACCTAAAAAATTGCATTTATAGTGTTGGAGAATAGCCAGCTTAGAGCCTGTTTTCAGGGCGATTTAGCAGTCTCACAAAACTTTACAAGTTTAATTTGATCAATATATACATCAATCTATATTACAAGGACAACAACAATGCTCCAGAAATCATGAAACACTCAAGTTTTATTTATTATTTCATAGAAACAGAACAAAGCAAACTGTACAACAGAAATAAGTCAACATATTGGACCCTTTAAAGTAACGGCTCAGGATTTGATGAGTTCAGTACAGTAGGGAAAGACAAACAAAAACATCCCATAATATAATCTCTACAATTTTTATTGACTTTGACAGTTAATTATTGCTCAGATAAATAATTATCTCTAAATGAGAAACAATAGGAAATCTTTTCACACGTCACAGAGTAACACTTATTATATTAATTATTCAATACAATTTCACCTTTGCATTACTACTATATGAGACCAAGGTAAAGCTGGTTGTAAGCTGTTATTTCACTACTGAGTGCAACAGAAACTAAGCACTGTTATCAAGACCAAAATTTCCATGAGCCTTTGCTTCCTGCTCTGCCATGCTTTCATGTATTAATTGGAGGCATGTTATTTTCCTCATTGTTTTTTTCATCTGTTCAGGGGACAAGTCACATGCTTCATGTACATTATTATTAATTTGCTAAGTCTGTTTCCATTGCACTCTGTTGCAGTTTGCTTTAAAAGATATATACATTTTTCCATTTCAGTAAACCGTAAAAAACTTTTTTTTGTTACATGCAAATTAAAAATTATTTAAAAATGGGAAGACAGAAACACACTTCTACTCAATTGTATTGGATGACTAAACTTGATGTCTCAAAATTACTGTGATCATCATTTATTCATGACTAAAATAATAATTTAAAAGTCAACTTCTGAACCACAGAACATTCCTGATTTTTCTCAGACACAGCTGGTGCAATGCAACTGTGCAACTGTAGAAAAAGCAAGGCAACACAACTGTAGATTTGGAGTTTTAATCCCAATGGGACCATCCATGCTAAAATATTTATAAAGTTGATAGTAAATTTATAATTTACAAAATTCACATGAAAGAAGGGGCCACCCATGTTACCACTATGGCTAATTATACACACTGATTTGTCAGCTAAACCCCTCTACAGTGGTTTCAGACCTTTCACTCATCCATCTTCACCGTTTTGACATTTTCATTAAAAAGAAAAAAAAAAATGGTTCAATCTGGATCAATCAGAAGTGGAGCCTTGAGAATTTTGTCTTGAACTTCTTGATGGTTTCTGTTGAAACTTCTGGTAATGTTGCTGAAAATAGAGAGGGGAAGAACACAAACAATGTGAGGCAATTGATTCCCAGTCAATACCCCCTCCAGGAAAAGATATATTGCCCAGAGTCGGCCGACTGATTCCCTTTGACTCCAATTCAATACAAACTAATTCAATCTGCACTTTAGAATTAAATTCTTAAATAACACTGTTGAATTGAGCATCAAGTAGTTGAACTGAGAAACTCCAATTTAGCATTTAGCAGTCCATCTTCAATTTAACAATTTAGCATCAAACAGTTACACAAAAACTATCAGCCTTCTTACCTTTATTAGTGAGGCTGTCCAGGCGGCATTCAGAAAAGAGACCAACCCCATGAACTTTAATTTGATTGCAGAGTCTACAATCTATTTTTATTTAAGACTTAACAAAGCTTGTGATAATTGCCATTAGAATCCTCTGTGTAAAAAACTTCTGATAATACTCGATCTCTGTGCTCTACCTCTATGCTTTTTATACAGGTGGGGCACTGGAAAAATCTTGTTCTTCTTTCTATATTTGGTAAAAACACAAGACTCATATCCAAGCCACTGGATAAGGCTCGACCCAGGAGTCATACATAAAATATGAAGTGTGTGATAAGATACATAAAAGTGCTTAACATGCTATTATTATTAAGCCATAATCATTTTCAATCATGCATAATGAACAAATGCACCAACATTTAAAGAGAAGGCGGAAGGTGTTTTATATTTACAGGTTACACATTTACACACAGATTGTCAATGTATTCACACAGACATAATGCACAAAGGTGATGCTATGTTCCCCAAGAGATCCATAGGATAACCGTTAGCGAAGGTCACACAGGTGCTGCAATAGGCTGAACTGCAGTCAGACATGGGCTGACTACAGAACTGAACTGTTATTCTTTTGTGCCCTGTTGTTTGATTGTTATTCTTTTTGTGTATTAAATTTCAGTGGGACTTCAGAGTGGTGAGTCCTGGTCATATTTCATGTAGCTGGATCCCTCAGCAACCTCTCTTGACAGAGGCTTGTTCCTTGGTGTTATTGTTATGGTGGTGCCACCAAGAAACAGACGTGGGTAAGGTCCTGCTCACGGACCTCACACCAGGGGCCATCGCTATGGTTGTATAGAAACACGCCTACTGCACGTCGATTGCCTGGCCTCACACCTGGCGGCTCTACGGTGGCTACCAGCATGGACTCCTCCAAAACCCGCCAAAGACCTGATGCCGATGGTCTCCAGAAGGGTGATGCCTTACTCAGAGGGATCTCTCCTCTTCTGGCATATCCAATCTCGTGCCACCTCCTGGCATCACCCAAGATATTGTCTAGCAGGATTTTGCCTTGGCGGTTATAAAGCTGCAAGCGTTGTGATCCTGGTGCTTTCACAGCCTCGGGATTAGCCACCTTTTTTACATCAGGTGCCTGGGAGGGCCCTTCCTGACCTAGGTTGATGAAGTCCGTTTGTTCCTCTATGGCTCTGGACTGGTTGGTGGGCTTGGAGTTGTTGACGCCCACTGGAGTGTCAGGACCCTGATGGGCCTCACTATAAGACAAACAGATCTCTCCCCCTTCCCCTTCTTCAAATGAATTGGAGGTCATTCTTTGGTTGAATCCATGCATGGAGGTCCCGTCATCAGCCATGGCTGGTTCTTTCAACGGATCTGTTTGTTGAGCTCGCTGTAAGAGAGTCCAGAGTACATTGAGACCTGACAACTCGTCTTTATGATGTACTCTGACTTTAAGGTACACTACGCAGGATTATCCTAAATAACAATGTATAGACAAATACAAAGGTATTCTCTCTCAATCATCACCTCTGACCCACTTGAAGTGTGTTTTGGTGTGTGTATCTGTTTATCTGGGATGTGATTTAATACGGTGTGATGTTTACATGCGCCAACACATTTAATTGACATGCACAAAAGTGATGACCATGCATTTGTGTTCCTCTATGGCTTATCTAACCAGCTACCATCTGGGTGCCCAAAAATGTTCAATTCTTTAAGAGTTTGATTTAAAAATTCAACACAGAGAACTGGATCAGCTTAATTACACTTAACTTGCAACTAAACATTGACTGAGAGACAAGATAATCATTGTCTTGTTTTAAAATTTGTACTAAAACGTTTATAAACACTGTTGCTTGTTGGCGTTTATCAAACGTAATAAATAGTTGTATTTCACTCTCACTTTTGTCAGGCACAAAGTCACAGAACACACCTATGGAGGTGGCTGGTAAGCAAGCAAGGCATAAGAGAGAACAAGAGATGCACTGCTCAGCTAGGTTAGCAAGACAAAGAAGACTAGAGAGAACGCACTGCAAGACAGCACTTAACATTAGCCTACTGACTAGTTTTATCATTGTCCTTTTTTGTCTACCACAATTCACTATGTGTTTGTGCGTACCTGCAGGTTGTCGTAGTGTCTCTGGCTGCTGCAGTGGAGCTCCTTGGCCGAGTTCTCGTTCAGGTAGAAGACAGAGCAGAGATTACAGAAATACCCCGATTTGGGGACCACAAACTCCTGACCTGAAAAGAAACAGAAAGAGGAATGTAAAAGAAAAACAAAACAAAGCATTTTCATGTAATCATTATTAATAAAATCATGTTTGTTTCTCACCAAGGGGGTTGTTGGGGTTGAATGGTAGCAGTTTGAAGTCAGCAGCAACACAAGGAGACTGAAAACGAGATCTCTTTGCTTCAGGTCCGACAAGCTCCCTCTTCCTTTTACTCACAGCTGAAGAAAAGGAGGAAATAACAATCATGAGCCCTGACAATCATGCTAGAGCTGCAACAATTAGTCAATAGGCAGATAATTAATCAACTATTTTGATAACCAATTTCTCGTTTTTATAATTGCAAAAATTCCAAACATTCTTCTGTTTCTCAAATGTGCAAATTTGCAACTTCTGTTTGATTTCGTCACACCGTGAGGAACATTGTCTATGGAGAGAGTGAACAGGAACTTTTATTTCTGGTGCCAGGATCTGGGTTGCCTGAGGCAACACTATATCCAGGTTGAATGATGGGCTTGCAGGAGAAGCTCTTATTTTGAAGGGTATAAAACTGACAGATTTTGCTTACATGATATCTTAAAAGAGTATTCCACTGATTTAGCAATGCATTCCTACAACATTGCCAGACTCAGGATTTTAAATTAAAAAAGGATCAAAATGCAGCACAACCAGAGGTGTCCTTTTTTATTCCACACATTCTCTTTCCTGGTTAAAACCTTGTGCCTACATTACCCATAATGCTTTGACCACCAAAAGTTTGGTTGGAGATTTGCGTATGTTATACTGGTAGTGGCCTTGAGCCTTGTGGTTGGTGGTATGGTTATAACACAAATATACCTGTATAAATTTATACTGTAATTTATAAAGATTGAGAAACACACACCAGTGTCGACATCGTGTTTGTGTTCCAAACATATTGAGGTTTCTTCTGTTTCATCTAAAGTCACCAAAGTCTAAAAAATGAGAGAAGAGATCTTTAGAATCAATGCTTCTGTATATGTAAAGCCTGTTCTACTATGAAATTTGTGTTTTGCTGTGCATATAATTTATCAATGGAAGAAAATTTATTCTGTATGCTTAAATCTCTATTTTTACCTCTGGGTTTAAGGAGTGCACTGATTCGTCCTCCTTGCTGGGTGGGCGGGCCTCCACAGTGCTTTGCTCATCCTTTCCCTCTTCCTCCTCTTCTATAATTTCATCCAGGGTGATGAGCGTCTGCAGCTCTCCCTCCGTGATCTCCTCATCCCACTCTTGACCCTCTGCTGCTCTTTCCTCTCCAGCCTCATCTGCTCCCACCTCATCCAGAGTTACCAGCTCCTTGGCATCTACCTCTACCTTCTCCTCCTTTTCCCTTCCCCTCTCCTTCGCCTCCCTCGTCCCTCCCCCACTGCTGCCTCCTCCTCCTTTGTTGCTGTTGCTGCTGCTCCTCCGCTTGCTCTCCTCTCTCTCCCTGGTCCTCCACTCTTCCTGCTCCTTCTCTTGCTCCTTAGCAAGCGACTTCTCTTTAGCGGCAGCTTGCCTCTTCCTCAGTTCTTCCTCCTTGGCCGTGTCTTCAGGGTAAACCTGATCCATGTTCACCAGAGCGCTCGTTGAAGCTTTTGTGTCATTTTTCCTGGACGACGTTTGATTCTTCTCCTCTGCTGGTGTTGCAGTATCACATCGGGACTTAGTTGTTGATTTACCCTCTTTCTTAATGTCTATTTTGGGTGTTTTCTCCTTCTTTCCCATACTCTGCTTTGTTGGTACACTCTCTTTTGGAGGTGCTTTCTCCTCTTTTTTTAATGTTTTTTCCCGTGATTCCCTGGCAGGAATGTGCCTCCTTTTTGTTGGTGTGTCTTCTATTTTTGTTTTCTCATTGGAAACCTCTCTCTTAGTTGTTTTTTCCCTTCTTCCTCTGGTAGATCTTGTCATAAAAGTTGGTTCTTCGGCAGCAGTCTCGTCCTCCACAGAGTCTAAAATTTCATAGGAAGCCTCCTCGTCTCCATCAGGTTTGTCAGATGCTTCAGTGAGATTCAATGTCATTTTATCCTCTTTCTTTCCTCTTGCACTCCTTCTTCTACCAGACCTTTCTGTGGCGGCTGCATCTTGAACCAGTTCGTCATCAACAGAATCTACTATTTTGTACACTTCCTCAGTGACCTCTTTGATCTCTTTGTCTTTTTTAGAACCTCCTGCAGTGGTGTCCATCTTCGTTCGTGTTTCATATTTTTTAACTGGCCTGTCCTGCTTCTTTGGTGATTTCTCCTTCTCTTCCCTTTTGGATGCTCTGGTCCTGGGGCTACTCCTCTTTGATGATCTATCATCTTGTCTAGCAGTCAGCTCCACTTTTTTGGTTCTTTTTACCTTGTTGTCAGTCTCAGACTCTGTCTTTGTAGTTGTTGGCTGATCTTCCACAGAATCAATTACCTCATAGGTATCTTCCTCTTCTTCCATGTCTTTTTTAGACATCTGATCACTGGGAGTTTCAAGTTTGTGGCTGTCATCTTCCATTACCACCTGATCGTCAATCGAATCCAATATCTCAAAGGTTTCTTGTTCAGGAACGTCACTATCAACGTCTTTTAAAGTGTCTTTATTGTCACATACTTCAAGAGGCTGGTCTCCATCATTTGGTATTTGTTCTTCAGGGTTTTCCATGTCTTTGGAGGCTTTGCGGGATTCTGGTGAAATCATTTTGCCTTTGACCTCCTCTTTTTGTTGTTTTCCAGTCTTTCCATCTACCCTACCTCTTGGGTCTTGTTTGCTACCTGTATCCAACACTTGAATACTATCTTCCTTATTTGCCTCTTGGTTTTTAATAATTGCAACTTCAACTGCAGATTTATCATCAGATTTGTTGACTACTTGAACCACATCTTCCTCAGACAGTTGTTTTACAGTGGAACTGTTACCTTCAACGAGGTAACTGTCTTCTTGACCTGTTGTGGCTTGACCTTCAGTAACATTGTTGACCATTTCAAAAGAAACACCCACTTCCTTTTCACTGCACTCATCAGGGTAGACTTTGCCTTCTTTATAAACAGTGCCAAAGACCTGTCTGTCCAATGTTTCCTCATGCAAACTCCGGTCATTCTCAGGCTCTGTTATCTTTGTTTCAGAGCTGCCTACTTGGTCCCCATCATCCATCTGTTCATCTGTTTGGTCATCAAGTGAATCAAGGATTTGATAATTTTCAGCGTCATCATCCTCCTCCTCTGAATGTTTGCCAACATCATCTTCTTTCCTTCTCTCTTTGCTTTTCTCCAGGTCTTTGAGTGTGTTGTCTTTAACATAAATCTCAAACCTCTGGGATTGGCTCATCTCTAACCCCCGTCCCTGTGCAGGTGGATGCATCTTTGATGATGTTTCTATTTTTGACTCTGACTCAACAGTTTTTGCAACAATGGCCTCTGCTGACACCTTGTGGTCAGATTTTTCCACTGCACTCTCTGTGGCTTTTGCTTCTATATGTGACTCAGAATGAGTCTTTACTGATGCCTCAACAGCTGCTGCTGATACCATCTTTTCAATTTCATGTGCAGTAGAGGACGACTGGGTCCTACAACTCGAGGAAGACGTAGTAGATGCTTTGAAAGGAGATTTTGTCTTGCTCTGTTCTGCTTTTGGACCAGGAGAGGAAGAGGTTTCAAGACACAGTGAGGAAGAGGCAGAGGTTTTACTAACACTGGCATAGGATGAGGGTTTGGTAGGAGAGTGGGGTGGCTCAGAGTCAGAAGACGAGCTTCTCTTCACGGAGTCTTTAGTCAACTTGGATGAGGAGGATGAACAGGATGAGGAAGAGGCTGAGCTCATAGAGTCTTTGAAGGACCTTGTCAAGGTCTGTTTGGCAGCAGATGACACGTCTGAGCTTTGCCTTTCTTTTTTCCCTCTGGAGGACTGCTTGGAAGAGGATGAGTGCTGGTGTCCACCAACTTCATCAACAGTGACAAAGTCCTCCTTGTTGAAATTTAAATAGGACAAAATGTTTACTGAAGTTTTGTTTGGACATTTTACCCACAACAGTGACTGGATTAACTATTTTACAAAATCGATCCATTACATTTTAAGACTTTTCAAAAGTCGTGCAGATACTCAGTACAATATTACGTTCAACATCCATCTAAGGACATTTTAGTAAATATTGATGCTTATTTGTGCTATTTGTGCTGAGAACAAGATCATAACCAAACGTACTTTCTGTGAGAAGCAGGCGGTCCTCTTGAAGCACGCTGCAAAAGGAAGGACAAAGTAAATGTTAAAAAAAAAGACTAACATTTGAAGTATGATCACCTGCAGACATTTATGATCTAAATATAGTTAATGACTCCAGTGAGACAAACTCAGTCTCTTTCTTGGATTTCTTACTGATTTTATTTTGATGCAGGTGCTTTTCCACCATTTCCTCAATAGTCAGAGGGGTAACTGCAGCTGAAGAAGACGAGGTTGCTGCCGGTTGCGGCTCACTCACTGCTGTAGCTGAAGAAGATGTGGTTGCTGCCAGCTGCTGAATGCTCACTGCTGGTTCACTCGCAGCTTCAGCTGAAATTGATGCAGCCTGCTGCTGGATTTTTGAAGCGCCTGTCTTGGTCTCCCGCCCTTGTGCAATGGAATCCAGTTCAAACAGGGTGCTTTTCTGGACTTGCGATGTAGTTTTGGTGTCATCTGTACTGATTGGTGGTTGACTCTCACTGAATTTATCTGGTACAGCCTCTGGATTTGTCATTTTTTCCCCTTTATCAGAACAGCTTTCAACTTCCATGGGCTCTGCCACTTTAAATCCTGTTTCCCCAAGCTCCATTGGCTCAGCGTCTTTGGCCTCTTTCACCTCAACATCAACCATGGCAAGTTCTGCTTGGTGCTTCAATTCAATAACTGTTGCCTTTCCTGTTTCAACAACTTTGGCTGTGTCTTCCAGCACCACTACAGGTTCTTGAGCCTTTGTTTCCACTTCTTTAGATTTGGACGTCTCTATATCAGGGAAATTTTCTGAAGCCATAGATTTGGATGGTGCATTTATGGCTTTTGCAGCTATTTCTTGCACCTCTTCTTGTGTCATATCTTCTGCTCCAGTCAAATTCTCCTCTGGTGTTTTGGTTTTCTCAGTTGAGGTTGTGTTCGCTTTGGATGTCGACATCTTTGCTTGAGTGCCAATTTTCAAGCCTTTAGTTGGTTCAACAACAGTCCTAGTTGCTGATTCATCAACCATGGCTGTCTCTGTCTGCGGGGCCACACTATTTACCGTTTTAGCTTTCGGCCGGGTCGAGACATTTTTTACTTTGGAAACCAAGACCTTTTCTTTAGTAACATTTGCTGAACCTTTAACTGAGCCTTTTGCATCAATTTTCTCATTTTCAAGTTTGCCTGTTGCAACTTTTTTGGCTTCAGAGGGTAAAAATAAAGGCTTTGCAGGGCAATTATGCAAAGTTTCTTGAGCTGTAGGGAGAAGATCCTTTGTGGGAGTACTGGTAGTTGTGGATTTAGTGGTTTGAGGTTTGGAGACACTGGAAATGGCTGGGTTTCTGTGAACAAAAGAAAGTTAACTAGTTGTAAAGCAGGAGAATAATTAAGAAATGGAAGATCAAGGGAATGGTTTGGATATTTTTTTTAAATGTTTTTCACGATAAGATCGCACTGTCCTTCAAAAGTTGACTTCCTGTGATGACTGTTAGTGTGTGTGTTACCTATTGTTTGTTTTTAAATTAACAAATTGAAAGACATTCAACATACAGGAGGTGGACACAGTATCGTGTAGATCATTCCTGTAGAGTTTACAGAAAATAAAATGATCCTGTGTGAAAATTTATAGTTATTCATTTTGGTTGTTGTAGTAAAAATNACTGGAAATGGCTGGGTTTCTGTGAACAAAAGAAAGTTAACTAGTTGTAAAGCAGGAGAATAATTAAGAAATGGAAGATCAAGGGAATGGTTTGGATATTTTTTTTAAATGTTTTTCACGATAAGATCGCAATGTCCTCCAAGGTTGACTTCCTGTGATGACTGTTAGTGTGTGTGTTACCTATTGTTTGTTTTTAAATTAACAAATTGAAAGACGTTCAGCATACAGGAGGTGGACACAGTATCATGAAGAGCATTCCTGTAGAGTTTACAGATAATAAAATGATCCTGTGTGAAAATTTAGTTATTCATTTTGGTTGTAGTAAAAATTGTAATTTAACTCGTGTCCATCCCATGTGCACACTAAATGTACACAGATTTTTGTTATGAGGTAAATTCCCAAAAGGTGAATAAAACCAAGAGCAGTAAATTCTGAATATACTGTATATACTCTATGTTGGAAAGACTCTTAGAAAAAAATGGAATTTTTTTTTTTACTGAGGAGACAAAACAGACAGACAGTGACTGAATATTTATAGTAATATAATATATATAAGAATGAAATAAAACATCTAGCCTCCATCACTGTTAAAAAGAGGTCTGTGTGAAGAATATCTTACTCCTGAGAAGTCGTCTTTTGCTCCTTAGAAACAGTATCCTGTAAACAAACCAAATGACATTTGTTAGACTAGATTAATCTGATTATTGACACTGTTAATGTCATTGATCAAAACATTATGTCTCACACACACACACACACACACACACACACCTTAGTCTTTGTAGAAGCACCTGCCTCGTTCTTCTGCAGAATGGGTTTTGCTTTAGAAGATGTTGTCGTCGTCTCCTTCTTTGCTGCTGAAGAGGACGAAGAGGCAGCAGAGGATGAGCTTTTACCCCCAGCAGAGGGAGAAGACTGGGAGCTTTTTCCTCCTTTGGATGACATAGAGGATGATGAGGAGGAAGAATTCATCTTGGCTAGCTCGGCTAGTAAGGCAGGAGCTAGATTTTTAACCACAGCCTCCAGGTCAGAGTCTTTTGACAGAGCCTGAACAGCTAGAGGAAGAAAGGCGAAAAAATAGTGTCAGACAAAACTGCAGTGTTTTGGAGTTTACCTGTTTAATAAGATGAAATGTAAAGGTAAAAAAAGGTAAAAATTACACACATATCTACATGTTACATAAGTAAGAAGAACTGCTTCTCTCTAGCAAGCATGCAAAAACTTAAATTTTACAACATTAAAATAGCTATTTGGTGAAGATGACGACCTGTTGATTTCAGGTTGATTTCACAAACTTTTTGGTTACATCTTTTATTCCTCTTTTGTCATTCAATATTCACTTTCAATAATCTATAAAAACTCTATATGTGATTGAAATTATTGTGAGCTGGAGAAAAAGACGATGAAAAGGTTAAATGAATTCAGATGTCTCAGGCAAAAGTATTTAAGTAAGCTTTGCACTAAGGAGAAAATGATGAGCAAAACACAGTCAGCATGTTAATCAGAGGTATATATTCCCAGATCTCATGTGGTTGCAAGAGTTTACCACACCAAAATCCACATTGTCACATGTTCTTACCTAATTAAAATGCCTTGTCTGTTCTTCTACTTAGCCCATCCTTAATAACATCTATATTTGAACACCATTTTCTACATCTACACTTTCCTTGTACCCCTTTATCTCTAAGACCCTGGGTACCCTAGCTACAGATGATAGCAGTGGCTTCATCTAGACACTAACAGTCAAAATAGAAGCTAAACAATGTCTAATGTTTGTCCATGTTTCCCCATTTCCATTATCTATACTAACCACTGTGGCTATTATATTTACTGCACATGAGAAGGGTATTGGTTTTCTCATCTAACTCTCAAAAAATACAAAGGGAATAATCACTACTTTTAATACAGTTGTTTTTAAAGACCTGGGGTCTTAAGATTATTGCAATTTATCAAACCTGAATTTTCCAGTAGTCTCTTCACCAGCCTCTCTGTGTTGCTCGACCTCTTCCCTTCAGCAGACGACCTCTCTGTGGACCATTGTCTTTCACGGCTCCTTCTTGGAGATGGTCGTCTCTTGTCGCCCCTCCTTGGTGATCTTCTTTCATAGCTCCTTCTTGGAGATGATCGTCTCTTGTCACCCCTCCTTGGCGATCTTCTTTCATGGTTCCTTGGAGATGATCGCCTCTCTTGACTTCGTCTTGGTGAGGACCATCTCTCTTCTCTCCTCCTCGGTGAGGATCGTCTCTCATAACTCCTTGAACGTGACCGATAACGCGAGGAGGTAGGACAGTCATACCATGGAGAGCAAGAACGGGACCGGGAGCTGATATATGGACAAATTCAATTTAACAGTCAGTTAATGTAATGAATCGAAGATTTCACAATATAATGCCAAGTGGAATTTCTTCTGTCATATTAGAATTTGGACCTGCGAGTGTATCTGGAGCTGTGCGGTGATCGTGATTGGCTGCGTTTCTCTCTTCTTTCATGGTGCCTTCGGAGACTAGGTGAGTGGGAGCGGGAGCGGCTTCCATGCCTGGTTTTCTGATGACGATGTTGGGAAGTCTGGGCAGCAGTTGAGGATGATGGCTTAACATCTTTCCCTCCAGCACTGAAGACAGCAGTGAACAAGATAAGCATAGGTGAATGAGAGGCAAAGAAAATTTCCAAAAAATAAGCAGGGTACTAGTTCTCAACTTGTGTGGTTACTACTTGTTTGAAAACTGAAAAATGTACCTGAGCTGGACTTCAACCTCACCATCCCACTCTGGGTATCTGTGGAAAGCAAACAATGAAAAACGAAACAATTCAAACACACCATTTAACCAGCAAAGGGGTCACACTTTGACAATGAAATCCCAAGATGACTGTCATGAAGCAGTGGTATTCATGGGAGACTTCTAAAGTCAAATGGTGGGTTCATAACTACTGCAATTAGCTATGCAGGCTGAGCCAACATGCTGCAGAGGCAACACCAAACTACAGTTCATCCAGTGTTTCCTCCACAGTACATTGAAGCCTATTTTTCAAACAATAACAATAAAGTGAAAAAGTGTGAGAAAGAAAAAAAGACTGACTGTGCCCGCAGGATTTTGCAGCTCTCAAGGTGAAGGCTGGTGTTCTGGTGGGAGAGCCAATCCTAGTAGTCAGATCAACAAACAAACAACATTTAGATAGACCTCATCACAACTGCTATGAGCTTAAATATCTCAACTGCCATGACAGAAAATTTTTGTTTATTAAACATTACAGCAGCCTTGAAAACATTTCAAAGCTTGTCCCCTTTCAAAAGTGTCCAATTCCAATTCTGAGCTTTTGTTGATACATGTTCATAGTAAGTCAGGAGCTGTGTGATTATGTCATACAAGACAAACAATAGTAATAAATAAGCAGCAAAACAAATATAATACCTGGATGACAAAAATATTACATATATTAAATACCTTAGGACCTTTATAATTACAACTGACTTTGTTTAGCTTTAGTTCAAGAGCAATTCAATTCATTTTGAAATATGAAAAACACAGGAGTGTCCTCTTGACCCCTCCACTCTGTGATGTCTGGCTCTTCAGTCTTGTGTAGTATCACAATTTCCCCAAAGTTTGGTTCAAATTGTCTCGGCAGAGGTCACTTTCAAGCAAACCGCACATGCTGAGGCAACATTGAGAAAAGAGGGAGGCAGATGTGGAAACTTGGAGGAGAGGAAGAAGGCAGTAACCAAACTATGATGAAATGCGATTTCCCAGCAGGAGGACAAAAATCAGACCTCGCTGATCTTGTGACTCAAGAGCAATGGTTCCTGGTGGGCTTCAAGTTCATAGTAGTTGAAGTAATAACTGGACTTCCTCTTTGGGACAAAAAATATTTACAACAAAAAGGGAAGCTTGGCTCCTACATAATAGCCAGTATTACAAAAAAGATAATACCTATTATTAGATGTGACATGAATTAAAATAACATGCATATTACCAATGGCTACAATAGTGGGAAAAAGATAAAAACTGTACATTCACAAAAACAGCGTATATTCAAACTGACTTTAGAGTATGACACAGTAGTAAGAAAAGAGAGAATAGGGGAAACAGTTGTCTTCCATCATCGTCTGATGCACTAGTTGTTCAGATCTGCAGATTCTTCCACATCACGATAATCCCATGGTCCTCTTCATGACAATTATTCAGAAGATGGCCAGTTTTCATTATTTTATATTGAATTATGCAACAGTCAACAGTCACTCTGAATCTGGAAATAGCCATTACACACTGAACTTCATCTGGTTAAAGTAGACATTGACGTTCTAACGACAGTTTTAAGTCAGTCCAATTGTGTAAATCAAGACATTGTGACCGTGTATTAGAGATAACAATAGTTAGCTGTAATCCTGGCATCCTTGAAACATTTCGGTACAACCCGATTCAGTGAACAGGTTTAAACATTCTCTCCCAAAGTTTGCAATCAAAACTTGTTTTTGTAAAATGGTAACCAGGTTCTAGGTTGTGTCAGGCTTTTCAGTAGCATATTTTCATAGTTATTACTGATCCATTAAAATTCAAAGAATATTTTACATAAATCAAATACTATCACCCTTAGGCTTTCTTTTAAAATCAAACCACTTCAGTACTTCCAAACAAACAGAAAAATGAAATCATGTAAATATGTATGTCAATCTACAACGAAAATTGTAGAAATTGAAACAAATAACCCACAATTTCCTAAAGGGAGAGAAAACAGAGTGCAGTCTTCCACTCACCTTCATATGAGTACATTCTTTGTAACACAGAGAACAGGTATGTGGAAAGACTCTCGGTGTGTCCGCTACACAGTCATGCATCATGGCCGGCGTTGGCAGACCCTTGGAGACTGGATGCTGTGGTCGACACTGCCTGCTGGAAGGCGGCAGCAACTGACTGAAGTTCACCGGGCTCGGGATTGGCTGAGGTGAAGCTGGTGGAATAATGCTGGGGAGAGGATCACCGAGGATAAACATTGAACGATGCATGGTGCGTGAGGCATCTGTGCTGCTGGGGATGAGAGAAGCAGGAGGAACCGGTTGCGCAGCAGAATAAACTGGAGGCCACGTTTGTCCCATCTGCGGTACTGGCTGCTTCTGGGCCTGCTGCTGGATGTGCTGCTTCTGCCTCTGTTGTTGTTGTGTCTGCTGCTTCTTCATCTGCTCAGCAACCGTTGACCCTTTACCTCGACCTTTATTCTGATCCTTAGTGCCACTGGTATCATTGCTTCCAATGAGCACAAGACCAGGTCGGCCAGGATGCACACCGTGGAACAAAGTGCAGGATGGTTGGGCTTTCGACTTTGACTGTCCATCTTCCTTTGGTTCTTTCAAAGGAAGGGGAGTGGAGGGTTCAGACTTGAATACTCTTATGTCTGTGTCTTTCTTGGGTAGAGAGAAAGAGCTCAGGATTGTTTGAGAAGTCTGTTGTGGTTGAGTCTGCAATTGTTTAGCTGGATCATTGCTTGGGGGAGCTACAGAGCTCAGTTTTGAACTGTATGAAGAGCTGGTAACAGAGCTACCCTGATCACGTGAAGAACCCAAGGAACTGCTTTTAACCTCTGTCATATCTTTTTGCAATGGTTCTCGACCGTGACTGCTACTATTGTAAGTGTCCACCAACAACATACTGCCACTCCCACCACTGTTAGCTCTTGTGCCACTGGTCCTTCCAATCTCATCCAAAACCCCTCCAGCATATTTGTCAGTATGTCCAAAGTCAATCACTTTACTGGGCTGGAGAATAGCCGATGACATTTCCTCCGGGCGTATCCCTGCCCCTCCAGAACTACTCAACCTGTCCATTCCACTCACACCTCTGGTGGGCTGGGGTTCCAGGTACGGTTTTGACTGAACTGCAGTTGCAGCTCTCTTGGCCTTCTGAATGCGGATTTGGCGCAATATGAACGGCAGGTTGGCAGGGGTGATCTGGTCTTCAGGGTAAGAGATGAGATGTTCCAAATCCTCTTTTTCAAGTCCGAATTGCGAAAGGATGTTAGCGGCTGATTCAGAAGTGTATTTGGGGCGACTTGACTCAGTGGAGGCTGCAGATTTGTCTGGCACTGGATAGTCATAATCACCCAACCCTGGAATGGACTGCAAATCATGTTCCCTTTCACTTGAGGAATTAAACCTACTATCAGAACTGCCTACGTAGCTAGATGAAGCAGATGAGTAAAATTTGGAGGAATCATTAGCAGTTGACCTTTTGTAGTTTGGCAACCAGTCCAAAGAGCTACTGCCACTTTCAACATCACAGTGTATATGTCCTGGAGGGGCAGAGGTTGAGGACATAGAATAGTAGGCCATCCCTGTGCCTGAGGAAAGAAACTCATCTCTTTGAGTGCTGGTAAAGCGAGTGCCCTGGCCCATGGGCTGATGCGTCGGTTTGCCAGGAAACCTCACCTCCTCTCTGGCTCTGCTAATGGGCATGTCTATAGACCTCTCTATGTCCCCCTCTTCTATTGAACTACTCTGTTCAGGCCTGTAGCTCACTGAGCGAGCCAGCAGTGAAGGGATCATTCCCCCAGAGTTGGCAGAAGTTGCAGAAGAAGAGCTGAAGTTAGATCCAGGTCCAGATCCAGAAAATGTCTTCAGAGTGTCCCTCTCTGCCTGCATACTGGATAGTCCATACTGCCCTTGGGTGGAATTTTGGTTCCCAGAGGCAAAGGGGTTATATAGGGGATGAGACATGGTGTTTGCAATCTTCAAAAGGTTAAGGAGATTGATGGCTGCAGCAGTTGGGGAGGGAGGTGTTTGCAAGTTTGCGGCTCGACTGCCAACAGTGAGAGCATTGTTTATTTGCGTCAGTGCTAGCTGGGCTTTCAATTGAGCCAGCCGCAAGGATGCAGCCTGCTGTCCAATCAGGAGGGAACTCCCTGTGAGTAGGGGCCTCGTTAGGGGCCCGGGTACAGGAGAAGGGACGCCATGCTCCAATAGCAAGGCAAAGCTGAAAAGTTAGGAAAGACAAAGTGGTTATTTATTGGGTATAGACTTCAGCTTCTTGGTTGGGTAACATCCATCATCTTAAAGGTTTGTCTGGACTTCTCCACTCTGGTACTTCCTGTCGGAAAGACATTCGGTCCATTTTTTTCACTTCATGGTCTTCACTAGCTAGAAAGAAGAGAGGAGGCAAAACAGCACAGATAAAGAGCAAAAACAAGGTCATAGCTGTTCAGCAGAAACATCTAGAACACAGACAAACTAATTCATTTCCTCTCCATGCTCATCTTTAGTGGAAACATTTGAGACTGGCACCAGCAGACAGACAAAGCACATTACAAAATTTAACATCTCACAATTAACATTTCCATTTCAGATCATTACATCACATCAACTACTGGGGGGGAAAAGAAGAAACAAATTCAGCCTGGCGTAGATTAAGCTCAAAGTTTTGAGGGTTGAAGCGCATATTTGAAAGGGATGCAGCGGGTTTGGTTGACAAAACAGAGAAAACCCAACCAGTGCAGAGATATTAAAGAAGGGGTTTGATTTTTTCTCAAAACACACAACTGCGTTTGAGAAGAGGCTGTGCAAAAGTTGTTTAAAACACAACTGAATTCAAACTTCAGAAAAGTATTTTGTTTCAACTGCAATAAAATGATCAACATTTAATGACACTCTTTGCTATAAAAAGGAAGAAAAATAAATACATTTTACAGGTGTAGTATAACCCTTTTTAATCTGCGTCACATCAACACTACAATTATAACAATGCAAGCATTTATTCCCGATGTATTTCGACCGTTTTCGACTTTTAAAACGAAGAATCATGTTAATATTGACCAGGTTCAAAGGTCTAAATGTTGGTGGATGTCTGAACCGAACGGCAGTGAGTCCAGCTAGCAAACAAGGTCCGGTAACGGACAGACACGGCGAAAGTTTGACAAGCACCGATGAAAGCGTGTGTGTTTTTATAAGATTATTATTTTTTTTAAACATACCTTGGGTCACCTTAGGTACATCTTCCTGCGCTCAAGATTCTCTTTGGCAAACACTGATGTCTGAAAACCGTTATGATTTCCGGTTTACTTTCGGACCTTTCGTAAAAAAAGCACGGACCTTCAGAATAAAAGCACGAACGTTAAAGGACAGTTAAGGGAACTGTTAAAAGAATAAAATTTTTGGTCTTAAGTCAAAAGTAGAAATCCTTCATTTTGACTCCTACTCACTGTAAAGGCAATTTTGCTCTAAGGTGAGGAAAGCAGATAACAATGAGTCTATCGAGATTCAAAGATTTATTACTGAACACTATGTCAAATTAGAATAAACAACCAGCAATTAACGCAATGATCATAAGCAGAGTCTGGACACCCTCCAATCTCAAACTTAGCTCTTTTATACAGTGACTATCACGTACACATGTTTAAGCATACAGTTCAACTTTCATCCAGGGTACAAAGTATGTTTATCTTGCTTAATCATTAAGTGTACATTATTTGCGGAGATCAGTTCATAAGGTTTGTTCAATCAGCATACATTAAAAGAAAACATCCAGTCCGATTTAAAGAAAACGTTACATGAAATGGAGGAAAACAGTTTTTCCCATTACACTCACAAACCTAGGAATAAAAAATATTTATCAAATTTCTTGTAACCTGCTTGCTATTTAAATTTAGCTCCATATGTTGGTAAGGAGTAGATCCCAGACAAAAACAGAGTGAAGCATTCCTGTGTTTTGTCCTACCTGAACTTTTCCTTTCCTTATTATCCTCTAACCTTTATCCTCATCACTGTATATTCTTGCCACACGGTGGCGCTCTTCACACACAGAAATTCAGTTAGTTTTACTTTGGCTCAAACATTTAAAAACCCTATAGATGCTGATCAGTCTGTTTCTGTGACCATTTATCATCAGATTCCTGGAAACTTAAAAAACATTTAAGTTACTATACTATGAACACCTACCATACACAACTAAAGCATAAAAAACTGAAAATATATTTTATTATATGTTATTTGCTTCAATATAAATAGTAAATATAAACTATATTGATATAAATAAAGTGTCACATTACCATTTGATACATTGCTATCATTAAAATATAGATTATAGCCATTTTAAAGCTCATCCAATCAGATCGCAGCTTAATCAATACACAGAGAAAGATTCAGTTTAAAGAAATATTCATCTAATTAAAAAAATATTTGTATTTTGGTTTTCTTTGATGAATTAAACAGTTCGTGTACACACACCAGATAATAAATGATATAATATTAAGATATAAGATTTCAGGTAAACTATGGTCTCGAGACAGCAATCACCAACACACATAACCACAAATATAAACTAATGTGTTTGATATTTTCAATTAAGCATTAACCTCCCATCTCATTTACACATGAATTTATATTAGATAGAGTTATGTAAGCCTCAGAAAGAAGGTGATAAACCCTCTTCCTGCAAATAAAAACATGAATCAGTGAGGATTTTGTTGAGCTTAGGGGCCGCACGTCCCCCTAACGCTGCCAAGTTCGCCTTGTTGCTAAAGTACAGTTGACGACAACACCAGCCAATCACACTCAAAAACTCTTCCGGATTCCCCAATTGGCTTTAATGACACACAACCAGATGCATACTATACTAAGAGCCACTATATGAGCTTGAAGTCTCTGATAATGAACGGCTATTGACTTTACAGACTGTTGAATCAACAGTTTATCAAAAGGTGATGATGAATATTTTCATTAAAGGATCATTCTCTGTTGGGTATTGCAGCAAATTACTAATATATCCCCTTTATCCCCTCCCCCGAACCACAGGGCTTAACACCTGACCACGACACAACAGCTGAGTGGCAGTACTCCGACAGCGTGTGTGTGTCTGTGTCTATGTAGGAGTGTGTGTCTGCATGTGTCTGGAAGGGGAAGTTGAGCCAAAAGAAGCTCGGTTTTATTTTCAGCTGTCATCGCTACCCTGACAGAGGCCTGGTCTCATGGTGGTGACCTCACCATGGAGCACACACACACACACACACACACACACACACACACACACACACACACACGTACATACGCAGGGACGCCCAGCATATGTGGAGACGTGGGCAGATTAAGATATAAAAAGGACAAATTTATTTGGTGTGTTAATTTGACTTAAACCCCCAAAGTTTTCCAGAGTAATCTCCAGTTATCTTTGGCCATCTTGGATTTCTATCTTTATATGTGATCAGTGTTGTCAAGACATTTACAAGCTCAAGTCAAGTCTAATATTTCTTATCCCTAAGTCCGACTTGTATTACTTAAAGTCAAAACCAAATCCAAAGGATAAGGTCTGATGAACCAGACGATGGAGGACCTCACTGTCACTGAAAAACATCAAGAAAGTCTGCGAGGCTGTGATGAAAGACCTGCAGAAGAAACTCTGTGGTTGGCACCTGCCGGTCTGTGATGCTGTTACAGGATCCAGTTACAGACGCTGTCATCGTTCAGTCGACGGTTGTATACTCGGCTCGCCTCCCTGTTTCTAATTGCTCTCATCCCCTAAAGCAGCACACAGGCAGCTGCGGGAGGAGGAGGAGGTTTTAACATTTTGTTGTGTTGCAGCCTGATGATCCAAGTCATTTTCCGAGAAGAGACGAATTGAGGGCAACTGATCCAAGTGCCGTCAGCCGTTGATTCAACTCCTCTTGGATAACAATCACCTGGATTACCGACAATCTTAAAGCTGCCAAAATGTGAGGGGTCTGAGGACTTTCTGAATGCACAGAATAACCCTCAGCAACCTGAAACTTGCTGCTTGAGAGGTGAAGTCATGCTCAGCTGTGCACAGATGGTGAAGGCATTATTAAACAAACAAAATTCAATATGGAGAATGTTATGACAGCAATTCACAATGAACTAGGATCATTATAACATGCATTACAACATTCTCTCTCTGAGTTCAGTGAATGTAACACACACACACACACACACACACTCACTAACTCGTTAACCTGCATCTCCACATGAACCTGCAGCATCTACTGTCCCCCGTCCCCAAACAACAAGGTCAGATTTTCTCTAATGACTTCAACAAGTCTGGCGGGAGGTAACCTGACCCCAGATCAGTGACAACGGACGACAACCGCCACAAAGATTGACGAGGAATGTGAAATCTCCGATTAGTATCTGTCCTCAACCCGGCAACCTTTTCTTAAAAACTGTTAAAAAAAAAAAAAAAGTATAATCAGCAAAATGTATGTAAAGTATCAAAAATAAAAGATGGATACTTTATTTATCACCTAGGGGAAATTCATGATTAATACTCATGTATTAAAATAAAAGCAGTATTTTACTGTTGTAGCCGGTTGAGGTGGAGTTTAAATAATCAAGTAAAGCACAAGTACCTCAGATTTGTACTTAAACACAGTACTGGAGTAAATATACTTAGTCCCACCACTGGTTAAAAACCATAATTACCCTCACCCAACATGCCCTCGTGGCCTGTAATGACAGGCACTTCCCAGGTCATGTGACGTGGGTGTGTGATTACCTCAGCGGCTCCTTGGGGTGGGGGTGGGGGGTGGGGGGGTCCCCTGTGTCCTCGGCGACACGCCCAGCGATGGACGGATGGGTTTAAATCATCACACAGCGGGGACAGAGAGTGCACATGGTAACTCACACCGGGCACACCCTGCTGCTACACATGTCAGTGCCATAAATCTCTCTGCAGCGTCTGCGGTTTATTACACTTTGATATTTTTGACGGATGATTTGAAGGAGACAAAATGAGGGGGGGTGGGTGGGTGGGTGAAGGGGCTA